TTTTAAAATATGTTTGTCCTCCTTTCCCACACCATCATACCCTAATCTCCAAGGTATAAGATCTCGGAGAAGTGGGATGTTCTATCTGAGTTTTAATCTCTCATCCAGGAAAACTTCAGCTTTTGTCCAGTAGATTTTGAGAGTCAAATGAAGAATTCATCATGGTGTCTGACTCCCATCTGTTGATTTAAATATCTGAAGCTCTTGTTGACAGTCACACCTCACAGATATGAAGAGGCAGCTTGGAAGAGCTACAAACTAGGAAACGCTGTGCAAACACGCCTGCTCTTCCCTGCCTTTAACTCCAGAGAAAACTTGGTTTCCCTTTGTGGAATAATCCCAGCCCCTAGCCTAAGCAGTAGAAAGCTAGCTGTTTCCCAGGCTGTGTTACAGGTGTCTGGAATGCTAGCATCCCACATTCCAGAACTATGGTGTAGTGAATATGTGGTTCCTTTGTCCCTAAGAAAAGGGGGAGAAGGTACACAGAGCATCACATGGAGGAGTGTGTCAGAATCGAGGCTATTGTTCAGTCACCTCACATCTCAAGAACCTCACTTGTGAATGGCCTAAAAGAATGAAGGTTTGCACTTTTTAGTGGCTGATGGATAGCTAAATTGAAAGGGATCTTAAAGACCATTTCACTCTAAAGTATATGGCTGTGGGTACTATGAAGAAGCCTTGTCTACGCATGGTGTTTGAAAAGACATGCCAGGGACAGTGGTTCATTAAGAGATGGTATGAGCACTTCCCATATGGTCTAGTGGTTAGGATTCCTGGTTTTCACCCAGGCGGCCCGGGTTCGACTCCCAGTATGGGAACAGTTCGGATACACAGCACACACATAAATGCCAGGTAGACATAGAGACCTACCTGTAATCCAACACTTCGCAGGGCTTAAATGGGGAGATATCCTGCCAGGCAAGCCGAGTAAGGTAGACTAGCCAGAGAGCTCTGGGTTCAAAGGAGAGACTCTGTCTCAATAAGTAAGATGGAGCTCAATCAAAGAAAACATCAAATATCAGTCTGTGACCTCCACGTGTGTGCAAACACAATCTGCAAAGACACCCAGCAGGGACACATACCATATATACATATGCAATGTGCACAATATAATATATATTAAATAATAGTGTTCATATTATATAATGTACAATCTATATAAAATATGATATAATATAAAACAATTATATATATGTATATATATGTGTGTGTGTGTGTGTGTGTGTGTGTGTGTAACATATTAAGAGAGAGAGAGAGATGGTGTGGCCTGCTAGAGCATTAGGGACCCGGACTCTGGGCTTTTCACCATAGGTCAGCATATAACCTTTTGGAGTCTCCGACGCCCGAGAAGATGAAGTTAACCAATGATGTTAAGTTAAGCCACTGGTGGCTCAGTCATGCCATACTCATACTCGCTTGGGTCGTCCTGTTCTGACCCTGCATGGCTTTGGGTTAGGTCTATGTAAAAGGTGGCATGAACAATCAGTGGCAGGACTCCTGCTCAGCCAAAGTCTCCTTCTGGGACTCAGCCAGCAGGCCAGTGTCTCCAAAAGCATGAGTTCACATCTAGGTTAAACTCGGTCATAACCAAGGCTATCCCTAATATGGCCTCTGTAGATATTTGAGTATCTGGTACTTATAAAGGCAGAGTTGGTGCAAATATGAATCTAGGGTGGCCCCAGAACAATAGCACCCCCATATCACCTGACACTGATACAAATGCAGATCTTCAGGCCCCAGCTCCTACTTACTGAATCAGAAAACCATGGTGCAGGTCCAGACAATGGTGTTGTAACATTGCCATTGGGGGATTGTGACATGTACTAAAGTTTAGAAACCGTGGGTTGGTGCATCTCATGCTCCAGAAAATGCGGTATCAGCAGGTGTTCAGTCAGTAGTTTGCTGACCAGCACACCTTGGCTCTGGTCCAGTCTGGTAGCACTAAGGCCAGAGGTTCTCACAGGGCTCTCCAGAGCCTCTTAGGAGCCCATTTCTTTCTGGTAATAAGGAAACTTAGGTTGAGGTTCTTTAGAAAGAGATGACCTTTGAGGCCTACTTTGAGATCCAAGCACTTAAGACCTGGATGAAAAATCTGGCCCGAGAAGACCCCTGAGTTATTAACTTGTCAATCCCACAGAGAGTCGAGCAGTAAGTGGTGCTAATGGTCTGCCTTTGATATTGGTCTCCTGACCAGGTACATTAAGAAATAAGCCATTCTATACATTTCTATAGGCCTGGTACACAGAAAACACTCAAGCTTCATGGACTTGCCAGTGGCTAGCTATACATTGGTCAGTGGGACAGCATTACAGAGGGACCAAACACATCTGTGACCCTGCCTCAGGCCTAGTTGTCTGCTACCTGGTTATAAGGTTTAAGTGTCTTCTTGAAAAGGGTTTATTGTCTTCCCCTGAGAAGTGAAAATTTTGCCTGTTCTACAGAGCTTCTTATCTGTCTGTCCATACTCCTTCTGATTAGTGATGATACCTTTGTGGTCTTAATGATTTAGCAACAGTGTAGTGACGAGAACCTTCCACATGGATAGAAGGAAGAAGACAGGCTGAGCCATGAGGCAACAGCCTCTGGTGTCTCACTAGGGGCAGGTAGAGCAGACTGTTCCCATGATCCCACACTCTCTGGGCACTTGGCCTTGTCTTTTGACTCACACTCCAGACTAGAGGCTATGTCTGCTTGTTTGTTTGCTTTGAAATCCTGGAATATCCTGGCTTTCCTAGAAGGCTCATCTCCAAACACAAACTTCTACTCAGTCCAGATATTAAAGCCACAGTCTGGGCCGGTGTGAGTGACTTCCCCATTTCCTGAAGTGAAGGTGCACTTTCTCTGCCTTATCATCCAGTTTGGCCTCTTCCTGTCTCGGACCCAAAGATGGTGGAGGGAAAAACCCTATGCAAAGCCACATACATGCCTACCCCTTCCCCTGAAGTCTGGCCTTTATAAAGTTCCATCCCATTCAATGGCAGCTTTCTGAGCCAATTGCTCTATTTTTTTCCCTCTTAAGTTCATTGCCTAACAGTCTCTGTTTAACCTTTTGCCAAATTCTCCACTTCTGTCAGAGGTGACTCTGAGTGTTTGATCAGGTAACTTCTACCTTTGCACCTCTATCGCAACAGGTCCAAAGGTTCCGGAGGAGCTGGCAGGACAACTCAGAATAAGATTCAGTGGCTTCATTCAGGTGCACCTAGTCCTGGAGCGTGGAAGGGCAGGAGCAGCTGAATGTGGTGCTGAACCAACAGCTAGCTGTAAGAGGAGTCATTCCTCAACCCAGCAACTGTGACTCTTCTCAGAAGGTGAGCTGCCTTCTCTGGCCTATGAGACAGTGGGAGCAGAGAGATATGGGGGAGAAGGTGGGTGTATATTCATATTCCACCTGCCTAAAGCTCTTACATAACAGGAGTGATAATCTCAGTTGACTTGTGTGGGAGGCAAAGAAAGACATCCATTTGAAGAGGAAACATTGGAGCCACTTGGATTTTAGAATTGGAAAAATAAAAAGAATTGGAAGAGAATGTGAATCCTACTTTTAAGGGGCATACAGCCTTTTAAAAGGTAAAGATGGAGTGAGGATGCAGGTTTCCTTCATCTTCCACTCAGAAATTTTTAGAGGGACCACTTAATAATTGCTGATGTCCCAGGAGGGGAGGGAGGACTTCTCGGTTGTGACACCATTGAGGTCTGGAAAGCATCCTAAGGGCAGGGCATGTGTTGGCACTTGGGGCATCTCCTGTACGGGAGGTAGTACTAGCTTCCATTTTTAGATGCATCTCTGAGTTGTTAAGCATGGTGTGTCTTTAGAGCTAGAATACAGTGTAGCTAGAGTTGACACAGGTCAGTCTGTTCCACAGTATAGAAATCTTGGGCGGTCGGTGTCAGAATCGTCTCATTTAGGAAATATTTAGAGGGCCATTACTATGCACTGGAACTGAATAGAACGACAACCTAGCAAGACGTTAGAATGACCCAGCTCTTGTTGAAACAGACACTAAGTTCTAGAGATCAATGACATCAAAAACAACAATAATACTAGTTGGTGGCCTCTAATCCTGCAATGGGAGATGGCATAAAACAGGACTTAGAGAGAAGCCAGGGAGAGATATCACAGAAACTGAGGTTTGACACCCACTCCCCCACTAAAGGTCCTGCTCTGGGGAAGGGGTGGGGAGTCTCCTGGGAAGCTGAGCTCTAAAATTAAACAAAAGCTAAAGCCACCTCTCTCTATCCTTCCTAAGGGGTCAGACCTGCAGGTCTCTGAGATGTGGCACCGTTTTTGTTTTCCCTGGTCTTTCCAGCAGGGGTGGGTGGGGATGGGGTGCTCTCTGCAGAGAGGGAATCCTAAGGTAGCTAGCACTCTAGTGAGGAGCCAGTCTGCACCTTGAACTTCCTGCCGATCTTTCTTGGAGGGATCAAGGTTGGGAAATGATTCTGCCTGTCTGTGAAGCTGCTGCCGCTGGAGTGGGGAGAGGGAGGCGGCAGAACCGGTCATCTCTCTCCCAGTTCTGATACTGAGGTCTCTTTGTGATCCTGGGAGACCAAAACCTCAAAGGGTGTTCGAATAAGACAACTGTCAACCCGGGTAATGCTGAGGTGTAAGAGGGGTCACAGAACACATTTCATCCTTAAACTTGGGAGCTTGTGTGTGCCGGCGGAAAAGGAGCCACGTCAACTGAATGGCTCGCTGCCCCAGTGGTTCCTGGCTTATTTATCCTGCTGTCTCTCTGCGAGGTGCGCCTGGCTTTCTGAGCCGGGGAGGTCTGGGGACTGGGGAAAGGGGCTACACGGAGAAAGGGACAGTCGTGTTGTGTCTGACCTAAGGGCGGAGGTCCCTCTAGCTGGACTTTCCTGTCCTGCGAACGCAGCGGGGAACAACGTCACCTCCGTTTCTCTGGCAGTGAACCCAGGGCCACCTCAACTCGTTTCCATTTGGATTTTCGTCTTGGAGGAGAGCTAGTGGGACCAGCGGGAGCAGGTGGACTGTGCTGATGCAAAGGTGGCTTGTGTTTCAGCCCCTGGGGATTGAGGTTAAAGGGTTTGAAAACCGGCCAGGGTAGCTTTGGATGTCTGTCTCCTCCTAGTCAAAAGCGCTTCCACTTTCAGTTGTGAAAGAGGAAAAAAAAAAAAGCCAAACCAGGAAGTGAAGTCCCCAGCACCAGCATGTCAGAAAGCCGGGCTATGGCCTGGATGGGACAGATCAGGGCAGGACAGAAGTGGGGACACTAGCCAGGCTGCCTGCCTGCCTGCATGGACGCTCTGAAGCCACCCTGCCCGCGGAAAAGCCCGGGGTGAGGAAGGGAGGACCGGGGCTCTCCTGCCAGCAAGAAGCCGGAGCCAGAAAGCCCCGCTCGGAAGCTCCAAGGTGTGCGGCCCTTCACTGGGTAAGGGATCTGAAGCCGGGTGTGATCCTAGGACGGGGCTCCAGCGCGTGACAGAGGCATCCCGAACCCCTCCTCCCGGCCCACTTCAGGAAGCTGCCTGGAATTCACAGCTCGCTGTGACCCCACGTGTGTACGCCATGCTCTCTCTGCCGGGGAGTGGAGGGCTCCTCTATCAGGAGGGCTGAGGGGAAGGAGGAAGAGGACGCAGGGAGGGACTTTCTCTTCTCAGGGGGTGGAATACAAGCAGAGACCTTTTTGCAGACCTGAGCACATGGCGGCTAGCTCCCTGGGTTGGGCTGGGGCGGGGGGGGGGGGGGGAGGCAGTTAACCTTTTCACTGAATTTTGACTCCCTCAGATGGAAGGAGCTGAGGAATAAGTCTAAGGAGATGGATAGACAGGCCGAGTGAAACTGGTTCTCTTTTCAGAGCTCTAAGCGCTGGTTGGATCTAAGATGCTCCTGAAGGGTTTTGAGATCCTGAGCCTTGAAAAGGGGCTCCATGGCTGGGCTTTGATACCTCGTGTGGTGTCTCCCCTCCCCCTCCCCTTTGACAGTCTAGTTTGAATGGCAGGGTTGAATCTAAACTTCCTACTTACAGTTGATTGGTGCCTTGAAAGAGGCAGGGTCTAAAATAAAATAAAGCATTGGCCGGGCTTAAAAACTGGAGATAGAAGCAGTAGATTCTGATCCCGCCCTCTGCGTGCACATGGCAGCTATTTCCGGTAATTTCAGAATTCACCTTGGAAGAAACAGTCTAAAATCTTGTGAGCATCATTCATGTGCCTGTCTCTACCCATGAAAAGCACAAAATCCTAAATAAAGCAATCGCTGTAAATGCAGATTTTGAGGAAAGCTGGTAGCTTAGGCAGGTGAAGAAGCTAGTGTATTATGGGATATTGGTGTTGGAGTCACTAGAAAAAAATTGCAGCTCATATAACCCAGAGAAGCATATTCAATTTAATTAAAAAAAATACCGTCCAGATCAAACGAAGTTTCAGCCAAGCTATATTATAATTTTATTTTGGCCGGGCGGTGGTGGCACATGCCTTTAATCCCAGCACTTGGGAGGCAGAGGCAGGCGGATTTCTGAGTTCGAGGCTAGCCTGGTCTACAGAGTGAGTTCCAGGACAGCCAAGGCTACACAGAGAAACCCTGTCTCAAAAAACCAAAAAAAAAAAATAAAAATAAAAAATAAAAAATAAAATAATAATAATTTTATTTTGTTTTTTGAAATTTACTTTCATTCTACTTCTTATACAGATGAGGCTGGCCAACTGCCTGTCTTGGCTATCCAAGTGCTGGGATTACATGCCCAGGTATATGCTAATTCTTTAGGTCAGGGACACCTTTCACAATATCAGTGTGCTTCTGTGCGCCTCAGTGCTATGTGACAGCGGGGAGGCAGGTCCTGGGAGGGTATGCTACAGGAGGATGGAGAACTGAATCCAGTACCAGCACATAGTAAATATCATATTTGAACAAGATGATGTTTTGAGGTAGGACTGTAGGCAATCTGATGTTTTCAAAAATAAAATATTTACAGTTTTATTTTTACAAACCATTCTTCACCCACTTGTAGGATAAAGCCTTTTTTGGATAGCCTAAAAACTGAGCTTGTAAAAAAGATGTTCATGTGTGATGTTCTGGGTACCAGATTGAGCTCACGTGTGCATCAATTATTTGAGAATTTTCTGAAAGTAGGAATGTTAAAACGCTGCTGTCATGGGGAAGCGCCGTGCTTGGAATCTTATGGGAGCTTTTATTCTGGCTTTCAATAAAGCCCTGTGGAGTAGATTCTTGGTAGAAAAGTGAGACTTAGAAAGAAAGACACCCAATGCATCATGGGTGGTTGGATGTGGGATCTAAACCTGGGCTCACTTCGTTCTGAGGGCGATCTGTTCTTCAACGTCTGATGAGTCTGGCTTCATGCGTGGGCCAAAGAGTAAAAAACTGGCAGATGTTTACTCTTCTGCAGATCCTCCCACCTCAAATCCGTGAAGATGAAATGTAGACAGACCAGTCATGGGCTGGGAGGACGGTGGGAGGGGCAGTGACTGTCTCACACGCTCAGGGGTTCCTTTCAGTATGACGAAAACGTTTTTGGAATTAAATAGACAAGTCAGAGACATCTCATGGTGAATGTGCTAGGGGGTTCACTTTAGAATGTTTAATTTTTTAAAAAAAGAATTCATCTTAAATAAAGAACAAGAGGAGGAGGAAGTGTCTTCTCCCTCCTCCAGGCAGATGAGCTCCCAGTCCCAGAATTGGCATCATTTTAAAAATCAACAGTGTTACCTGTTACCACGTCACATGCACTGACTCTTGGCTGGGTGCAGCCAGGGGTGACTTTTGAGTCTGGCAGCACATGGCAGTCATGGTGTGGCTCCAGCAGTGACCTTAGACTTCATGGCTCACACCACATTCTTTGGTTAGTACATCTGGATCTGTCCTGAAGTTAGATCCAGTCTCTCGGTAGCCCTTCCCACTGGCATAGGACTGGATTTTTCCCAGGTTCTACATTCCTGGTATGTGAATAAATAAATGAGTTCACAGGGTTTGGACGGTCATCCAGCCTGTGTGTTGCCATTACAGACCTCTAAGTCTGCCTGGGTCATTCTACTCTACGATGACGGTGGGGTTTATATGAGTGGCTTGTGGGAGATGAGGGAAAGAGAGTGGAGCTGGGTCAGAGGTAGCCCTGTGTCTCCTCCAATCACAAGTGCTGTGTTTAAATAGTAACAAGTACTCATTGAGACATTTGTAAGAGGAACCAAGATGCCCATGGTCATATCTTTGGAGGCATCTTCTTTTTTTTTTTTTTGGTTTTTCGAGACAGGGTTTCTCTGTGTAGCCCTGGCTGTCCTAGAACTCACTCTGTAGACCAGGCTGGCCTTGAACTCAGAAATCCGCCTGCCTCTGCCTCCCAAGTGCTGGGATTAAAGGGGTGTGCCACCACCGCCCGTCTATGGAGGCATCTTCTACAGATCATCTGATGGGGAGGGGTAAGGGTGTGAAAATGGAGGCTCTTGGAAGAGAGAAAAGAGAAACTCTGTGTTGGTGTGTGTGCAGGTAAACATGTGTGCAAATGTGTGTGCAGGTAAACATGTATGCAGGTGTGTGTGCAGGTAAACATGTGTGCAGGTGTGTGTGCAGGTAAACATGTATGCAGGTGTGTGTGCAGGT